GATGAATTTAACGATAGTATGATTATTAGTGTGGTAAATCATAAATATTAGTGTGGTATGTCATAAAACACTATTGACGCGGTTCGTAAAAGTGATGAAAGTATACGAAACAAAATAATGCAGTGTATTGGTTTTCACTACGTAAATTCCTAGTTCTTATAAACACCTCTCTCTCTCTCTCTATCTATCTATCTCTATCTCTATCTATCTATCTATCTATCTATTTATCTATCTATCTATCTATCTATCTATCTATCTATCTATCTATCTATCTATCTATCTATCTATCTCTATCTCTATCTATCTATCTATCTATCTATCTATCTATCTATCTATCTATCTATCTATCTATCTATCTATCTATCTATCGACTTATCGATCGATGAATCTAACGAAATTGTGATTAATAAAGAGGAATATCAGAAATATACGTGCACTATGTCGTAAAACACTGGTAATGCGTTCGATGAACATAATGAAGAGATGTCATTGGTAAAGGAGTTTTTTCAAAACTCGCTCGCTGAAGGTAACTCCTAGTTAATGCGGTTGATGAATATGATGAAACGACATGAAATAAAATAATGGATTGTATTGGTTTCAACTACGTAAATTACTAGTTCGAATAAGCACCCCGCTCTTTGAAGGTAACCCTTACTACGCATTACTACAACAAATTAAATGCAATGAACATGACTAGAAATGGACGTATTGAAAAATGGGCTCACATAAAGACATGGCGCGTTGCATGTGCAGCGCAAACGACAATGGAGGATAACCGGAGGTGCAAAAAAGGATGGACCGTCCATTTGGCAACAACGAATTTGACGGAGAGAGAGATGAAGGTCTTCACGCGATTACGAGTGAAACTTGGGGATAGCGACGTCATAACAAGTTCATTCAACGAAGACACAAAAGAAGAATTAATGATGACAGTCAACGATTTTAGCTTGCTAATGATATAAAAAAAGTGGCTGAACGACCAGATAATTAATGTTTATCTTAACCTTGTCCGACTGGACAATGAGTGCCGTGTGAAGCACCATAATTGCGATTCGAAGAACGAAAACGTCGTTGGAACAGGAAAAAGGGCGCATTTCTACAATAGCAGTTCTAAGCTCATTTTTTTTCGCAAAACTATTTGATAGCGATATGAAGTTCAAGTACGAAAAGGTTCGCAACTGGTTTCCTAAGGTCGTGATTAGCGACATGGATTTGATCATTGCACCTTTTCATGTCGCGCACAACCAACATTGGACACTCGTATGCGTATGAAATTTGAGTACTGCGATTCGCTGACGCCGAATGTTGAACTCGCGGCGAAGGTAACAGGGGGGTTCGCAAGATTTCTGTACATGAGGTTGGTCGAACAAGGTCAAGAAATTGAGACGAAAAACTTCAACCATATATGGCAAGTGGAAGACATTCCAAAGCAGCGCAACTTCAATGAGTGCGGTGTGTTTATGCTGACATATGCATCACTATAGGGAAGAGGGTTTCTTCCACCTTTCACATTAACATCAGATGACATAAAGAAAATACGATGCCGGATAGCTTTCGACGTAGCTGTTGTGGAGTAGACGAATTTGTTCCATTTACAGTACAGACGTTCAAACACATGAAATGACCATGTAGTGATCAAAAATAGATCTGATATAGGAGAAAAATAGTTTGTAAGTGGAACGAGGATTAATTATGT